TATCAGTCTTGGTACCTTCACTGCCCAACAAATATATCAGTCTTGGTGCCTTCACTGTTCAACAACCACCAGTCTTGGTACCTTCACTGTCCAACAACTATATCAGTCTTGGTACCTTCACTGTCCAACAACTATATCAGTCTTGGTACCTTCACTGTCCAACAACTATATCAGTCTTGTTACCTTCACTGTCCAACAACTATATCAGTCTTGGTACCTTCACTGTCCAACAACTATATCAGTCTTGTTACCTTCACTATCCAACAACTATATCAGTCTTGTTACCTTCACTATCCAACAACTATATCAGTCTTGGTACCTTCACTGTCCAACAACTATATCAGTCTTGTTACCTTCACTGTCCAACAACTATATCAGTCTTGGTACCTTCACTGTCCAACAACTATATCAGTCTTGTTACCTTCACTGTCCAACAACTATATCAGTCTTGTTACCTTCACTATCCAACAACTATATCAGTCTTGTTACCTTCACTATCCAACAACTATATCAGTCTTGGTACCTTCACTGCCCAACAACTATATCAGTCTTGTTACCTTCACTATCCAACAACTATATCAGTCTTGGTACCTTCACTGTCCAACAACTATATCAGTCTTGGTACCTTCACTGTCCAACAACTATATTAGTCTTGGTACCTTCACTGTTCAACAACCACCAGTCCAGGTACCTTCACTGTTCAACAACTACCAGTCTTGGTACATTCACTGTTCAACAACCACAAGTCTTTGTACCTTCACTGTTCAACAATCACCAGCCTTTGTACTTTCACTGTTCAACAATTACCAGTCTTGATACCTTCACTGTTCAACAACCACCAGTCTTGGTACCTTCACTGTTCAACAACCACCAGTTTTGGTACCTTCACTGTCCAACAACTATATCAGTCTTGGTACCTTCACTGCCCAACAACTATATCAGTCTTGGTACCTTCACTGTCCAACAACTATATTAGTCTTGGTACCTTCACTGTCCAAAAACTATATCAGTCTTGGTACCTTCACTGTCCAACAACTATATCAGTCTTGGTACCTTCACTGTTCAACAACTATATCAGTCTTGGTACCTTCACTGTTCAACAACTATATCAGTCTTGGTACCTTCACTGCCCAACAACTATATCAGTCTTGGTACCTTCACTGTTCAACAACTATATCAGTCTTGGTACCTTCACTGTCCAAAAACTATATCAGTCTTGGTACCTTCACTGTCCAACAACTATATCAGTCTTGGTACCTTCACTGTTCAACAACTATATCAGTCTTGGTACCTTCACTGTTCAACAACTATATCAGTCTTGGTACCTTCACTGCCCAACAACTATATCAGTCTTGGTACCTTCACTGTTCAACCACCAGTCCTGGTACCTTCACTGTTCAACAACTCTATTAGTCTTGGTACCTTCACTGTTCAACAACTATATCAGTTTTGGTACCTTCACTGTTCAACAACTATATCAGTCTTGGTACCTTCACTGCCCAACAACTATATCAGTCTTGGTACCTTCACTGTTCAACCACCAGTCCTGGTACCTTCACTGTTCAACAACTCTATTAGTCTTGGTACCTTCACTGTTCAACAACTATATCAGTCTTGGTACCTTCACTGCTCAACAACTAAATCAGTCTTGGTACCTTCACTGTCCAACAACTATATCAGTCTTGGTACCTTCACTGTCCAACAACTATATCAGTCTTGGTACCTTCACTGTTCAACAACTATATCAGTCTTGGTACCTTCACTGTTCAACAACTATATCAGTCTTGGTACCTTCACTGTTCAACAACTATATCAGTCTTTGTACCTTCACTGTCCAACAGCTATATCAGTCTTGGTACCTTCACTGCCCAACAACTATATCATTCTTGGTACCTTCACTGTTCAACAACCACCAATCCTGGTACCTTCACTGTTCAACAACTATATCAGTCTTGGTACCTTCACTGTCCAACAACTAAATCAGTCTTGGTACCTTCACTGTCCAACAACTATATCAGTCTTGGTACCTTCACTGTCCAACAACTATATCAGTCTTGGTACCTTCACTGTTCACAAAACTACACCAAACACCTTCCAAAGGATAATTCTCAAGAATCTAATTAGTAAGTTTGAGTCCTGTAACTAACGTCCCTGATAAGATACAGAAGTGATGCTTCACCAACAACCCTTCTGTCTGTATCTGCCTGTCTCTCTTCTCTCTCTCTCTCTCTCTCTCTCTCTCTCTCTCTCTCTCTCTCTCTCTCTCATTCAGGAGCAAAAAAAATTCGACAAGTAAAAATTACATTGACAGAGATGCGCTAGTCTTCATTAATATAAATGTACTGAATGTGAGCGTGAACGTTTCGCTCTGCACAGGGCGAAACTTTCGCACAACAAAAGATCATTCTGCTTCATGTGTTCTTCTAAACCAAGTATAATAAAGAGTGGAAATAAAAATGTCTTAGACAAGAATATATGATGCTACCGTGTTTAGTGCTGGTGTTTGTAGCTCTGGTGTTTGTAGTGTTGGTGTTTGTAGCTCTGGTGTTTGTTTATAGTGCTGATGTTTGTTTAAAGTGATGGCGTTTGTTTATAGTGATGGTGTTTGTTTATAGTGATGGTGTTTGTTTATAGTGATGGTGTTTGTTTATAGTGATGGCGTTTGTTTATAGTGATGGTGTTTGTTTATAGTGATGGTGTTTGTTTACAGTGATGGTGTTTGTTTATAGTGATGGTGTTTGTTTATAGTGATGGTGTTTGTTTATAGTGATGGTGTTTGTTTATAGTGATGGCGTTTGTTTATAGTGATGGCGTTTGTTTATAGTGATGGTGTTTGCTTATAGTGGTGTTTGTTTATAGTGATGGTGTTTGTTTATAGTGCTGATGTTTGTTTATAGTGATGGCGTTTGTTTATAGTGATGGTGTTTGTTTATAGTGATGGTGTTTGTTTATAGTGCTGATGTTTGTTTTATAGTGCTGATGTTTGTTTATAGTGATGGTGTTTGTTTATAGTGATGGTGTTTGTTTATAGTGATGGTGTTTGTTTATAGTGATGGCGTTTGTTTATAGTGATGGTGTTTGTTTATAGTGATGGTGTTTGTTTATAGTGTTTGTTATAAATGCTGATGTTTGTTTATAGTGATGGTGTTTGTTTATAGTGATGGTGTTTGTTTATAGTGATGGTGTTTGTTTATTGTGATGGCGTTTGTTTATAGTGATGGTGTTTGTTTATAGTGCTGATGTTTGTTTATAGTGATGGTGTTTGTTTATAGTGATGGTGTTTGTTTATAGTGATGGCGTTTGTTTATAGTGATGGTGTTTGTTTATAGTGATGGTCTTTGTAGCTCTGGTGTTTATTTATAGTGCTGATGTTTGTTTATAGTGATGGTGTTTGTTTATAGTGATGGTGTTTGTTTATAGTGATGGTGTTTGTTTATAGTGCTGATGTTTGTAGTTCTGGTATTTGTTTATAGTGTTTGTATTTGTAGTGCAGGTGTTTGTTCATATTTTTTTTTTGCATGTAGTGCTTGTGTTTCTTTGTAGTGCTGGTGTTTGTTTATGGTGCAGATGTTTATAGAGCTGTGTTTGTTTGTAGTGTTGGTGTTTGAAGTACTGGTGTTTGTAGTGTAGGTGAGTTTGCGTGTAGTGCTGGTGTTTATAGTGCTTGTGCTTGTAGTGCTGGTGCTTGTTTTAATTGCTGGTGTTTGTTTATGACGCTGGTGTTAATAGAGCTGCGTTTGTTTATAGTGCTGGTGTTTGTTTATAGTGCTGGTGTTTATAGTGCTGCGTTTGTTTATAGTACTGGTGCTTGCTTGTAGTGCTGTTGTTTGTAGTTACTGCTGGTGTTTGTAGTCAATGCTGGTGTTTGTAGTTACTGCTGGTGTTTGTAGTTACTGCTGGTGTTTGTAGTCAATGCTGGTGTTTGTAGTTACTGCTGGTGTTTGTAGTCAATAATGGTGTTTGTAGTTACTGCTGGTGTTTGTAGTCAATGGGCTTGTATGAATGTACATTGTGTGCTGCACAATGTACATATATAAGTGTGTGCTGCACGATGTACATATATAAGTGTGTGCTGCACAATGTACATATATAAGTGTGTGCTGCACAATGTACATATATAAGTGTGTGTGCTGCACAATGTACATATATAAGTGTGTGCTGCACAATGTACATATATAAGTGTGTGCTGCACGATGTATATATATACATGATAAAATAAGACATGACTTGAGACTAGTCGGGTAATATACTAGCTAATATAAGATCATTCAACGCTACTTGACGAACCTTCCCACTGAGCTGAGAGAAAACATGAACGTCTTAGTCTCTCTCTTAAGAAAGTCTTACGTAGCCCTATTTCGTAGTGAGGCAGAAAACTATAGTGTGGTGCTCCAAAACTGCATAAAAAAGGTAAAAAGATTAGAAGTCACAATGCTCGCTAAAAACAATTCAGTCTTCCACTAAAATATACTAATGCTGAAAGTTTGAAAGAGGCATTCACCCGTTATTGCAGAAATCTGACTAGTTTACAAATACGATAATTTATTGACAAGTTTACACTTAAACAATCTAAATTTATAAGGTACAACCCAACTGATAAAATGCATCAGACGGTAATGACTGAGGTCGTTCAGAAGGGGCGTAGTTATGGTAGTTATTTACTGAAAATAACATTATAAGAAAAACATTGACAAATTCCCATTGACCCCAATATCAATTTCCTACATATTTTCTACGTTCGAAGCCAATCAGAAGAAGCTTTTTCAAGTTATCCCACAGAAACAAAAACTGGGAAATGTCTACATAACCTAAAGGGGGATAGCACCTGCATATACCAGTAAATGAATTAACCTTCCCTAGTCACAGCACACCAGTGCTGAAACTCAGGAGCACATTGCACTGGGCATTCGCTATTCATAAAAGAAAACCTTAAAGGAAAATATTCAAGCTACCGCTAGAAGGTATCGCTTCGGGGATACCTAATGAGGTATCATACGTAC